TCATTCACTACAAGGTTCATCTGGCATTCTGATAAATCCTCCACTCCTAGATGACCTCTCTTTCAGGCAATGGTAAATATAATTTTCTTTTTATTTTTACCATAAATTATCAATTTATTTTACTGGTAAATTTTTTATTTGTACTTTAAACATAACCATTCAGGTTTAGTTTGAACAAGGAAGAAATCAGAAATTTGCTTGATGCTAAAACATACAATGATCCAAACTGTTTACTTCTTCCTCCAAATGAAGAAGATATCAAAGTAATAAGCAATTTTCAAACATCATTTTCAGTTGTAAGTGCCATTTGTTATTTAAAAATTTCGCTTAAATATAACTATTTTGTTTCTAACTTACATTCAAATACCATTCATGCTTGGTTCACTCAGCAAAAGACAGCTTGGGTGCAAGGAACTATCAAACTTGCATATGGATTCACCAAATATTGGACTACTACTTGTGTGAATTGTCACAAAATTGTAAATGCTAACATTGACTGGATCATCCATTGTCCTTCATGCAAACAGCAAAGTGAAGTTGAACTCAGGTTAGACATTAACTTATACTTCTAAACTAAACATTATTCCGATTTGTTACCATATATTAATCTTAATTCCTTCACTCAATTAAAGGGTTCGCATTCCAATTATTATAACTGATGCGTCAAGCTCAATCCATTGCATTATATCTGGAGAAGATGCTGAAAATTTGATTGAGTTCACTTCACAGCAACTTAAGCAAGCACAAGAAGATGTAAGTAAAAATTTTCTGTCTTATATTCAACCATATAAATACAAATATATATACAAAACAATTAACTGAACCTAACCAAAAAAATTTTCTAGTGCAGGGCTTTGGAATAGACACTGAATTTAATGATATCTTGAAAAAGTACACAGTGGTCTGTTTTCTGATATCCTATAAGATTCCTTTTCAAGGTCAACTCCAAAGAAAGAATACTGTCATTAAGACTAGGGCTGCAAACTAATCGAATCGTTGCAAGCGGCTCGAGTCAAGTTCGACTCGAGCTCGAACTTGCTCGAGTTGAAATCGAGCTCGAACTCGAGTTCAAAATATTAAGTTCGGTTCGCAAGCTCGAGTATATATATATTTTTTATTTTAAGTATATATATTTTATTTTTATTTTAATAGTAAAATTACATATATATCCTTAATAATTTTATTATTTATTAAGCAAAAATATTATGTTATTTATTTTTTAAAAAATAAAATAATTATTTTTTATTTTCTTCGAGCTCGAGATTTAAATTGTCAGCTCATCGAGCTCGAGCTCGAGTTTGAGTTCAATAAAATCAAGTCAATGCTCGACTCGATAAGGTCAAAGTTCGACTTGGCTCGACTCGTTTGCAACCCTAATTAAGGCTTACACTGCAGCTGAACTATCGCATCATCCACTTCTACTAGCACTTCCAAAAAACACTGAAGTTTCTTCTGCACCTAGCAGTTCATCAGCAAAGCATGCAGAAAAATCATCAAAGGATCAAATGTTCACTCCAACCACAAAGTTGGTACTTGAAGAAATTGCTGCAGCTAGTTCTTGCAAAGAAAGCTGCATATCTACAACCAGTGGAGCAAAAGAAGTCTTGAGTTTCCAGAAAGCCCATCTCAAAATCAAGTTTTACCAGCAGGCACACTTGCTAAACATACAACAAAGGCTCCTGAACAGTTTGTCAAAGAAGCTGCAAAACAGTATAGTCCACCTGACAATATCAAAGACAGTCCAGCAAAGAAAGCTAAAGCTAAGCAAGACTGATATGGCCTAATTCTGTACTTTTGTTAAATCTTTTGTTAATTACCTTAGTGCTTCCCTTCATTGCTTAGACAATATGTTTTGAATTATATTATGATCCATTATTCTTTTGACTTAAAAAGTAATGGATCCTAATATAACTATTAATAGTTTAACCAACAATGTTGCAATTCAATAGGCAATGAAGCTTATTTAAGCCTCCTAATATATAACTGTGGCTAGCACTCAAGTATGTATTCTACTAAGACATGAATGACTTAGTTTATGTAATGTATGGTTGTGATTTGCATATTATTCACCTCTTGAACCTATATATACATTATGATCTTTTAGCAAATTATCCTCATTGTTACAGCAAATCCAAAAAATTTAGTTGCTCATATCAATGGGTAGGCCACTGCGTAGCACAGCCAGACCCATGCTAGTTCTTTCCTATTTAAGCTTAACATGTCTTTAGTGCAAGTACAATTAGGATTGCTATCACGTGTGCGGATATTTTTATTTCTTTCAAGATTTAGTTTGATGAAAAATATATTATAGCGATTTGATGTATATGAGATAAATAAGTAATTGAAAAATGTGTTTACGAAAAATATAAAAATTTTTGTTCGAAAAATTACAATGCAAACAAGGAACATGTTTTTCAATTATTTGTTTAACTAATATACATCAAATCACTACAGTATATTTTCTATAAAAACTTCTGAAAATAGCAATCCAAATAGAGCTACCACTATTTTGGCTTTATCCAAGCAATTTGAGCAGGTTTATGTTTATGTTGATTCTAGTTTGTTTTCTTGCTTAGTTACTCACTGGTTTTATTTTTTTAGACAAGAAAAGAAAAATAATGGATGCTAGTAGATTGGTTGTAATTAAAGTCATTGAGTTGTAGAAAGAAAAGAAAAAACAAAACACACAAGCGAACGAACAAACAAAACCAAATAACTTGCTGATAATGGCTAAAGGACGACTAAAATTTTAATTTGACTAAGAAGATTATTATGATCTAGGATGGTCGAGAGAACCATTTTGTCGATCCATGAAAATAATAGGAGAAAAAAATTTAAAACACATGAAAATAAGAAATACACTCTCTGTCTGATAACAATAACTCGAAAAGTTTATTTTCACTTTCACATATATTAAGAAATGTAAGTTAATGTAGTTAATGCAATCATTTTTAGCTTAGTACAGTATTTTTCTACTATGCCATCTCATTAATACACGATTTAGTGTGGTATCTATTACTCCTAAAGTGGTTTATCAATAGAATAGTTTATTTGTTGATAAATATGTACATTAAATATGGGCATGAGAGAAAAATTGGTAAACTAAGTACTTTTTTTAAACATGAAATTGCCCTGTAATTTGACACAATCACAGAAGAAAAGTAAGTCATTTATGGGGATGGAATATGATGTTTTCTCAAGTCTGAACACAATCTCACTAGTTTCTGTTGAGATGAGTACTACTCATACAGAAGGTGACCATACACCAAGCATGCTAGATATTTTGAAAATCTTGCTATTTTTATGATTGAGAACCATGCACAAAGATGGACATAAAGGGTGGGGATGTGATTCTTAGTTGCGTAAATCACGGTATCAAGCCGCTCGATTTAATAGAATTGTACCATGTGACTAGGGGTAAAAAGACTCGCAGTTGAGGCTAGAAGTTTAAAATAAAATACATGACTATCAAATCGTGTCAACACCATATCTATGGTATGGTGTGACCACAAATTTAAGCGACCGAACGGTTTGATCCCATAAAGAGTGTGGGAGATGGTGGTTGGAGAACAATAATTTACTAATTCATTATATGGTTACCTTTCTTATGATTGGGATGGTATTTCACAAAATAAAATAAAAAAACAAAAAACAACAAAAGTTGAGTGTAATGAACCTAAAGTGGAGTTGTTATGTACATAAAAATGGACTGTCCACACCATCTAGCAAAACCATTACCAAATAAAATGCCATTTAGGTGATTTTGAATATAATGCAAAAACTAGAATGACATCTTGATAGGAATATATAATAGATGAGACATTGGGATACACTAAATCAAAGAGCACATGATTTCGTTAGTTGAAGACCCTTTGGAGCAAGAGTGCAGTATATGCAATCTCGACCATGCAAACTAAGACAGAATTAGAATTTGTAGGAAATAACATATTATAAATTCAACTAACTAAAGTTTATGTCCCTTTTAGATAGGGGAAAATATTGTCCACCTATACTTAAAAAGTTGAAGGTACGATAGTTTTTTGGAATATTGTAACAACAATTATTTGCCCTGATTGGCAAGGCAGTTTTTGCCTAGTTTTTTTTTCTATAAATTTTTGAACAACTTTAATTAACCTTAAAAAACTCCCCAAAGTTTTTAAAATACACATTTCAAAAATACCAAAAAATATAAATAAAACTAAGAAATAAAGGACTCAAGAATATTTATAATATAGGGTGAGGATTAGTTACATGTACCTTAATGATAACTTCCCTAAGAATGTTAATTAATAAATGTTTCTCAGACAACTTAGATACGATACGAGAGGTGCAAATCCTATATATTCTTTTAACCTATCTGATACAATGTGTGCCTGTCATATGATGTGGCAAGGGGAGACATTTTCCAGAAATTATATTTTGGCATGAGTCCAATTGTGTAAGCCCCTGAATGCTCTCATGCTAATGTATGTCCACCATTTTTCACATTAGTAGCTAAAGTTGCTTACAGCGTTCTACTCAGTCATAATTAACCTACCTACTTAATCTGTTGGCCAACCTGCAGCTATCGTTTCACCATCCAGGTTGATAGGGAAGTTTGACAGGAATATAGCCACTTAAGTCATGGGTACTTTTAATATGAGTCTGCATTGAACTATGGATAACAACTAAGTGATGTAATTATACAGAGATTACAATGTGCATATGCCATCACTAATGGAAGAGATACTATGTAAATAAGGATTCAAATGCTCATAGTTCTCACTAGATTAAGGTACTAAATATGGCCTTAGCCACTGTAGGAAACTCCACCAATAAGAAATATGATAAGATTGATGCCTCCCTGAAGAAAGAAGAACGAGATTGATTCATCCTGAGGAAAGAAGGAAGAAAGGGATGCTACTGTCGATAACCTGGAGTTGGAAATCGATTTCTCAGAAGGCGAATTTGAAAATCAACTTTGAAGAACTTCTCCATATTTTGCCTAGTTCTCATTCATCTTTGCCAGACATGAACTATTGCACAAGCTTCAGTAAATAGCTCCCAAACTAAAGTAGTACAAATATAAGTACCAACTGTTGCTAATAAAAGCCTCAGCTACCACTTTATCCCCCAAAAAATTGGCAGTTCAATCTGCTAATCAGAAAATAATGTTATTCTCCCACCAAACACGTCAAAAGCATTGCATATTTGGCATAAAAGAAGCCCAACCTTGTTGTCTGTTAACAAGCAAATCTTATTCCCAGACTCTGAACTTTGTTTGCTAGAAACTTAAAACACCCAAATTAGTGTTAAAAGCATACTGATTAGTCAATCTATCGTGATTAAATTACTAATGATGAAAGATGCTACTTAGGCTCATACCAAATAGGTAAAATCAAAGCTACTCCTATTATATAAGTTAAAGCTACAGAAAAGAAAGGGGAGTGAAGCATATATAATTAGCCGAATTGACCCATTAAGCATTATATGTGTATTTATATCATTTTTCTGAAGGAGACACCAATTAACTTATCTTAAAACAATGATTTCAATGTTCCCCTTTTCTTTTCTTTCTTCTTGAATCTAGGTATAGCAAATTATTTTCTTCTTATCACTCCCCGAAGAGACTCTGATTTCTGACATGGGTCCAATTTTCCTCCATTTTCCTGATATTAAAGCACCAAAAAAAAGAAAAGAAAATGACAAGACTGTTGCATGACTAACTATTTTAACTATCTTCACATGAACCCACATCCTAATCAACAAATATTGCATCATATATCGTGTAATAAAAGCAGGCAATCACATATCCAGACAGATAAAAATTCAAAAATGTAACCGTATGGTGAGTGACACAGAGAGTAGAGGGAAATCGAAACGAACCAAGTTGTTTATTGGAGTTGCTTTTGTCATTGAGGGGCTGAGAAGCACGAATTCTTGAGCTTTTATGTCGTCGGCGGACTGAGGAAGCTGAAGAACTTAGAGCTGCACTTAGAGAAATGGGTTCAGCTGCAACCTTCGCCATGTTTTTGCTGCTCAACTCAAATACCTGTAGTTCTGACACGATTTTTTGATTGTTGGAGTTCGGACGAACTTGGGAGTCTAAAATGGTAAAGAGTGGAGTTGGTGCTGGCAGTCGACCGTCTACAATTGTAACTCGCCCGGTGCCAAGTTGCCTCTCCAGTCGTGTGTCACTGGACTCACTACAAGCTCCTATGGCTATTTCTCTATGGTCTAACAAAAAACTAACAATTCCCTCTTTTGCCTCCCTTATGCTTTTTCTTCTAATAATAATTTTGTTATTCTTTTCTTACATATATCTTATTGAATTAAATATTTTTTATAATGAATAAGCGTGCAATTGTACCTTGGATATGGGTAGAGCTGGCAATTTGTCCCAAGTCCAATGGGCTACCCATGCCCAAAGGAACTTTGGCGGGATGGGTATTATAATTTGATATTGGGTTAAGTTGGGACACATCCCAACTATACCCATTAATGAATGGTAAAGGGTGGGAAATACTTGGTACCCATTGGGCTCAAATAGCAGGGCTCAGTTTGGATTAGCTGTTTTTTGGGGGTATTTTTGAAATATTTTATTATAACAATGTATATGAAAATTTTACTATAAAATTTTTTTGAAATATTTGATATACTAATATGGATGGATGTTTCTTGAGTTATTGTATATTACTGTAACATTGTATTTGAAAAACTTATTTTTTGGAAAAATAGTCAATCCAAACGGAGTCTTAGATTCAAAAATTATCTTTAACAATTTTTATAGTCATACCAGCGAATATAATCTAGTAGTCTTCCTAGTCATTATCCACAAGAATTTCTAGCATTTCAGTCAGTTTAGACCTGTCATCCTTGGACAATGACGAGAATAAATATTCAACATCCTAAGGACCTTGGCCATCTTGATATATGTTAGAATATGTCTGTATATCTATCTTTTCCTTTATTTGTTAATCCAATTTTTGGTGGGAATCTTGAGTATAAAGCACTTGCATGTTTATTTAATAAAACTAAAAGAAATTTAATAAATCAAAAATATTAAAATTATATAAAAAATATAAAATGAATTAAAGGAAAAAAATATGTAGGAAATGGATTTGGGTATTGGGCGGGATCAATCTAAACCCATCCCAAAGTGATCCCGCCCAAGTTAGTCCCAAAACATATATGGGTAAGGTTGGGCCCAAACCCATATGACTCGGTTCCATCTCAAACCCAAGCAAATCCGCCCATCCCGCCCATCCGCCCATTTTGCCACCTCTAGATATGGGCAGGACCATCCCTGAACGATCTCCTCACAAGCCTCAATAAGTGGATGAAAAAGAGCCACGCAGACAAGGACTACAAGAGAAGCAAAAGTGCTGTCGTTCCAATTAGTAAAATCAAAAAAAAAATTTGAGTTGCCTTATCTTAACGGACTGGGTTAAACTAAACAAAATTTTCAAAAGTTTGAATTTTGAAATGAAATTTTGAATTTGATAGTTAGTTTCAAGTTAAAATTGGGAAAGTCATTATTCAACACAATGTCGAAGAAAACAACTTTATCTTTCTAACCGGGAATTGAAAATTCAACATCATATTTATCTTCAAAAACTAATTTCTCTCTCTAGTTGGGGATGAGAAAATTACTGAGAGATAACCTTCTTCCTCTTTGTTGAAGCTAGAGGAGTAACGTGTTGTGAGGGTATGTGCTTGATGGATAAGGGCTATTCAAACTGAAGAAGCAAGCTATAGCAGTGTTTCATCATTACAGAGGAGATTTGTTGACGATTAAGGGTAAAGAACACAGATGCAATAGGTATTGACGCCTCGCAATTTCGATCATAAAGCAAATATTGGGTAGCAAAATGGAACTGAGTAAATACACCACTATCCCGGATGGCGAAGTAAGGTTGAAAAACAATGGTAGAAGTAGACGAAGGTAATTCAACTAACCCTTATCCTTAATTTGGTTATTCATAGATCGATTAGTAACTCTTAAAATAACCAAGTCATTAGATTGATAAAGGAGTTTAAACTTCACACAATTGGGGAAAAATGTTAAGTATAGTTAGGAAAACTATATTATAAAGCAAGAGTTATATATTATACAATTCTTGTGTTTGTATGACTATATAGAAAGTGAGTTAAAAGTTACAATCTATTGATATGACTGTACATGTATAAATTTTATTACTTGTAATTGCTTTTAAAGTATGGCATAACTTTTGCTAACTTATAGGATTTTGTCTAAATGAGGTGTGTGATGTACCCCTTGTTTATCAGAATGTATGGTATGTTATTCATCAATAACATTATATCAAAAGTTTTTACTAGATGGTTATTTGTTCAATAAGTAGATAGGTAGTTTACTTCAATAAGTAGTATGTATATATATAAATAATTAGTGAATGTACAATCTGGTTAAAATAATGTACACTGTGTTATTGACCAAGTACGACGCATAGAAATTGTTGAACAAGCAATTATTTGTCCACATGCATCTTGCAATTAGTCATCACAACCATATGCATAGTGCAGTGGTATGCATACATTTGAAATGGTTATTAATGTTTTGACTCACTTGTGTATCTCCTTGCAGGCTACAGTGGTTGTGTAATTTTATTTGTATGACTAATACTCATTTGCCTGTAAGTACCTCACACGGGGTGATTTATGAGATACAATCAGTTTACTAAAATGTACATTATGTTATATGTTAGTTACTTGATTGTGTATATCTATGAAAGGTAGTACAATGGTACGCATAAATTTGGAATGGTTATTGGCCTTTTGATCAACTTGGGCATCTTCCTATAATGGATATGTAATTTTACTTGTACGAGTAATACTTGTTTATCTATGAGTACCTTACACGGGGTCATCTATGAGATACAATCAGTTTATAAAACTGTACATCATATTAGGTGTTAATTACTTGACTATGTATATTTGTAAAAGAGAGATTAGATATAGCGCAACAAAAAGTAGTTACATGAGTTGGAATGTATTTTACAAACTTTGGTATAATTGATATTAGCATTTTTCTGTAGAGTGTACACGTTGTTAGTAGGTATGGAGTAGTGTTATATCTTATGTATGCTTATATGGCCATAAATTTACAGAAGTTAGTCTATTGTTTGAATTTGTAATTGGTTGTTAGCCCATACACAGTGTCACATACATACACTTAATGTAAGAATGCATTTACTATATAGTTGTTTATTGGTTCATAGAGTTCATATAGGCGTATAAATTGGGATCTGATTACTATACCCTGTATGTAATTATTAATACATTATATCTTATTGATCTTATTTTGCAGTGTGCCATGGGCAAAGATAGTTTCTTTTCACAAATCAATGGATATCAATCAATGCTGGTCGAGTTAAGAAATTAGATTGGACAATTAGATAGTTCATTACGCTAGACTTGTAATACTAGTTAGAATGTACTTACATTTAGTTCTTAATGCATTACCACATGTTCAATCCATTTTACAATTTATTAGTAGAAAAAAGTTAAATTATTAGTTTTAGATTCTATTTATCAGTGTTGTATATTTAGTTAGTATTTAAGTACTATTTGTTGTTAATTTTTTATTGTTAGCTCGATCTATTTTACAATATATCTAGAGCAATAACTCTATTATATTAATTAGTAAAAAAATATTTATTTTTTATTGCTAATTAGTAACATGCTAATATTGTACCCCATGTTGGTATTTATTGACTTTCCGTTGCTAATGGTTTACAAACTATTTAGTCCATTTTTGATATGTTTAAAAAAATAAAGATTTTTATTTCACATATTGGTAAAAACTAGTTACATTTGGTTACTTATATGTTATATACACACTGATTGAACAAAAATTTAATTAGTCATTTACCACTATTCGGAAATAGTGGATTTAGGTAAGATTTTAGTTGTCAATATATGATAATCTCAAAAGGTAGTAATTACCCATGCATATTGCAATGAGTCTTTGCAGTCACATGCGTAGTGCAATGATATGCATATATTTGGAATTATTATTGGTGTTTTGATTCACTTGTGCATTTTCTTGCAGGCTATAGTAAGTGTGTAATTTTATTTGTATGACTTATATTAGTTTACCTATAAGCAACTTACACGAGATGATCTACGAGATACGATCAGTTTACAAAAATGTACATCATGTTGGATGTTAGTTACTTAATTATGTATATCTATGAAAGATAGTGCAATGGTACGCATAACTTTGAAATGGTTATTGACCATTTGATCAACTTGTGCATCTCCCTATAATTGATGCATAATTTCACTTGTATGAGTAATACTAGTTGTCTGTGAGCACTTTACATGGAGTGATCTGTGAGTTACAATCAGTTTATAAAAATTTACATCATGTTAGGTGTTAGTTACTTGACTATATATATTTGTAAAAGGAAAATTAGATATAGTGCAGTAAAAGATAACAACGTGAGTTGGAGTGTGTTTTAGAAATTTTGGTGTAGTTGATATTAGTATTTTTTTGTGGAATGTACACGTTTCCATTTTATCCACAAATTTATAACACATAGTGTCACTTACTTCCATTTTATCAAACCCCAAACTAAAAGCCTTAGAAATGTGGTTGGGATGTCAATTTTGGCATACTTCTGGCTTCATTTGGATTAGCTGTTTTTAGGGTTATTTTTCAAAAATAGCACAGTAGTATTTCACTTTTGAAATACAAATCCGTTTGGATTAGTTATTTTTTGGATTGTTTTTCAAAAACTATATGAAAAACTTTTACTGTAGATGTTTTTTGGATTATTTTTAGAGGTATTTTTAAAACATATTTTTTGAGTATTTTTATAATTTATATTTTTTATATTTTTATATTTATATACATTTATGCATTTATAATACATTTATAAATATTTATAAATAAATATATTTTATATTTATATAAAAATATATAAATGTATTATAAATGTATTATATTATATATAATACATAATATAAATATATTTATAAATGTATAAGTGTATATTATTATAAATGTATAAATTATAAATGAATATTATATAAATGTATAATTTATAAATTATAAATTATAATTTATAATTTTTATATTTTTATATAAATATACATTCAAATTGCCTTTCTTAGTGTGGAAAAATGATTATCAATTATCTTAATTAGTACGCATGTACATCTTGTTAGATAACCATTATATTCTGTGA